TGTCGAATGATCTCACCTATCATTTCATTGTTTGGTAGCTAAATACTAATACTGCAGATTTACACATGACTATAAAAATTAATAATGAAATATTATCCGCATATAGAACAGTAAATACATTATTTTGAAAACATGATGTAAAAAGGCCTTTTTTAAAATAAATTTCAACCTCAACTTTCGTTGCAGTTGTATAGATAAGACAAATGTTTGTTGAGAATACATATTCTCAAAACAGTATCATCTAATTACAAGAATTTACACACACTGGATACATAATACATAATTGTCTTTAGGAGGAATCAGGAAACATCTGGTAAGTTAAATAATATTGGAACTGAAAGAAATATGTTTATTAAAAAATCATCATTCAGAAAAATGTTTAGACGGTTGCAGAAGTATAGGTCGTTTGAGTCATAATCCTTGTATGATCTTTAAAATAGTTACATAAGGTAAGTATCATTTCTTTAGTAAAATGTCAATTGCAGAGAATTTACTGTCTGGTTCTTATTATAGAATTTCTGATTATGTTATTTCCCCTAAATCTGATGTCCTCTAAATTCGCCAAAGGACGGGAGGATATGAATATGACTTGACGGCACGTCGGTATTTTGTGATCATTATAAAGGATTGTTGCGAAAGTTACAGTCACAGTATATCTTCGTTGGAGACTTTTAGTTTAATAAGGAACGTACTTTGTAAGATAGGGTCCAGTTATAGAAAGGACAAGCAAAGGACTTGCTGATTTGTTTCGTATTCCGAGGCCACCTATATATGAAATTTATTTATAAATTATATAACAAAATAGATATTGACTTTTAATATGGTATGATGTGATACGTACTAAAATCTTTTTCCTGGGTCATAATGTTTCAGAATATATCTCATAATATTCTGCGTTCCATAATTGAAAAATCATGTTTATCATTTTAACACTTATCTTTATTATCTACACTCACAATGAGAGTATGAATTGTTTGTATCATAGTTTTGGGACCCTCCTGTTGAAAATGTGTCAGAATTAAATCGTTTACATATACATGCACAGTGCGTTAACTGGAGTGCAGGTATTAGTTATCCGCACTCCAGAGCATGCCCATTGATTGTCTCAATTTTGCTGAGGTTTACATATTGTGACGGGAGAGAAAGGGAAAGCAACAGAAATATCATATATATTCAGATGTTTGTTCATTGGTTCCTTTTTGCCGGGGTTTCATATTGTGACAACAGGGATCGTGCTTTTATGTTTGACTATGATACAAAAGAGAATGAACATCAAAACACTCGGCAATCTGATTAATACTCGGGGGCTACGCCCCCTCGTACAAATCAGATATTCTCGTGTTTCGATGCTCTTTCTATTACTTACAATCCCAATCCGGTGCCAATATAATTTTAAAATGTAATATTACAGCAATACAGAATGTAACACAAAAAGCAAATTTGGTGAGCAGAAATTGGATCTGACGACACTGTCAAATGTGATTAAATCCAATTTGAAGATAACAATAAATGAGATGTTTTTCAAATCAAAACCATTCTCAGAGTGTTTCGTTACAACTTAGAATTAAAATATTTTTTTAATAAAGTCCTTGAAAGAAAACCGTTCATTTTAATAACTCGACCTTAGATGTGAACATGCACCCACTATTTTCGCCGGATATTTGCAATATATGGTCGAAACTTGCAACACGTTAAAGGTCAAACTTTCCTAAAAATAAAAATGCGAGGAGCAAATTTAAAAAAGAAGAAGCAGATATTTTCAATATTTCTGGCAAAGACAAAATGAATTTGAAGTCACCTCTGACCTTAGTCATGTGATGTCATTTTAAAGAGAAACATGTCCAACACCCTGTGTATATATCAAGGGAGTTTTCCATTTATCTATCTGGTTATACAACACTTAGTCTCTAGACTGGGATGTTGTAATTCCGACAAGCGGGTGATTACTTGTAGTATATACATTTGTCGGCTGCTTGCTGTTAAGCTGTACCTAATACATTGTAATATATGGGTGTAGGTCCCTCCGTCAATTGGAGTTTAAGTAAATGGACCAATATAGTTAAGTAACTTAATATAGATATCTTAAAACAAATAGAAAAATAAACGGATTGAGATATCATTATATTATGAAGGAACTGCATGCACCACAGACCAAACAAACTTTTGTACATCTTTAGAAATTGCACACATGCCTTTTTACAACATTAAAATAAGGGTTTTAAGAGCAAGTTGAATGCTTGTCACCTTACGAATGTTATGCTGAATCTTGTAATTTAAAGTAGCATAATGTAAACACAGTATTGTTTTGACTTCAATACAAATAGTGTGCCTTCAATTGTTATTTGAAGAAAATAAATACATAACTATATAACCAACAATTAATAAGCAAATAATCCAGGAAAATGTTTGCTTTTAACTTTTGTGTTAAATATATTATGTTTTTTTTTCAGGATACCAAAGATATTTACCAAACCACTTGTTTTATATTATTTAAAACAAGACATGTGATTGAGCAACCCAAATCTTGTTACTGATACACATAGGCTTCACATGTAAGTGTGAATCACGTTCAATCTACTTTTTTGAAGTTTCATATTCACATTCCTGTGTTACTGGATATAATTAAAAGTGGTCATTAATATGTTTTAACAAATTTAGGCCCAGTTCTGATGAAAATGTTATAGATATTTCCAGGTTCTGTCTGTACATTTTAATCAGATTTTTCATCACTGAATATTTACATTGCATTTGATTGCTCTTTCGGCTTACAAAATAAATTCTATGTCTGGAATATTTCTATCTGTCAATATGTCAATTTTTCAATTGCTTTTCCTGGTTATTCTCAGTTTAATCTACAGACAGAACTAAGAAAAACAAATATTTTGAATTGCAAAACTGTGAAATCTAGGGTCAACACGCTTTTATGCAATCTCGTTATAAAACGTCGAACACATTCGTCGAATAAATACAAGATACTAATAAAAATAGATTTTAGCAGGAATTATCATATGTTTTAAAATATCCGGGTTTACATTTAAACTACATTTATTGCAGATTGAAAATATCGATATTATTAATGATTCTAAAACGGTTGAGTTGTCATTGTTATAATCAATATAAATTAGCGAGAAAAGTAAATGTACTGGTGTTACGGAAAGTCTAATAGTAAAAGAAACATGTGTCATTCAAACCTAAATGAACGATAAAAAACGACAAATTTCAGAAACAACTGAAACGGGGCAAAATGAACACAAATTTCACTGATTACAGAGCCACGTTTCAATAACTAAACAGTCTGTACAATAATGAAGGTCATTTTAAAACGATGAAAATCAAAACTAAATATCTATGTCCTTTTTTACCAGAAACATCCTCAGCCTTAATTGCTTTTTTTTCTTGTAATAACTTTGTACTTTCTAAATGATATCATGATAATTTATTAGCGAATTTGTGAATATTACATTCCTAAGCACAACTTTTATAGGATTTACTCAATCTAATTAGTATGTTGAAAATGATTGATGAATACGGAGTTTGTTTGCGATGACAAATGTTCCAAACTTGATTCTAAATATATGTGTCAGTTAAAGTCCCCACCGAATAAAAAGATTAAAGTTAAAGATAAAAAGCTAATAGTTGTAAATGCCATGACAGCTTAGTATTTTCCATATTATATTTTTTAAATATATTTCAAGACGGTTAAACATGGCACAAAGTAGGACCAGTCGTCGATCATCGGTCAGATGTATGAATAATGGTCCCAAGGGTTACAACCCGATAAATAATAGTGCTCATTATTAAGTGTTAGCTCATCTTTGTATTTTAAACACATACCTTTTATCTAAAAAAATCTTATATTTCTACTTTATTTACTTTATTTAAATAAATTTTATATTTCTATTGTTGGATTCATACTGCCAGAGAGGCGTCTGAAGGTCTGACACAGCGTTGCTTCCCTTTATTTAATACAAAAACGTCCATTAGGTGCAAATGTTTGTTTGTTTGAAATATTGTTTAACCTGTCTTTGTTTTTGCCATTCAATAAACATGTGTGGTTTTTAACATGTTACGTTCAGTTTCTAAACAACTGCTTCACTTTTTATCAAGTTTGTTTTTGCTCATCTTTGAGTAAAATATTCATATCACAGAAATTTATTGAAATCCATGAAGTCCATACTGTATGTTTTTTTTTTGAGTTGTTCAAATTTCGTATTTAAAGCTGCATTCCCTATTAAAGGTCAAGTGAAGTTGGTCTTTTCTTAAAAAAATTGCCAATTTTTTTAATGACACTATAAAAATGTATTCATATTGTGACCACTAATAGTGTATAGAGTTTAAAACATAACATATCTTCTTTGAATGAAGCTGAATCATGTTTATTTTATATTTACAAAAAGGGTGTGTAGTAGTTATTGATATTTACAAACACCACATTTGAGCAAAGTATATCTTTAGTGAAATGTTTGTGGCTCTAGTCTTAAACTCGCAAAAGAAACTTAAGAGATACTGCATTTTGAAATGGTTCACGCTAAATTGCAAATAATAAGAATGAGCCGGCTTAATGCAGCGCCAATGTGCTGTATGTAACATTTGATATTAATATCATGTTGAAATTAGAGTTTTGAAAAATAAATACCAAAAAAAAGTTATATTTTTCGGTTAGGTTGAATTTCTCATAAAAGTGTTGATAAAAAATAAAAAAGAACGTAGTACGTACATTTTTATAATTTGAAAACATGTAAATTATCGGAGACGTAAGTTGCCAAATCTGCTTAAGATATTTGAATCACTTTTATATGTATTACATTAAACGTTAAACTATCCCCGAATAGAATTATATTGTCTTTTTTTCAAAAACGTATTTAATATTAAAAAGTAAATGTAAAGTCCCTATTAAAAATAATGTGTTATCGTAATAAAAATATAAATAAAAACCGTATTAATAAACTGCAGTTGTTTAAGTATTTACTGATTTAAAATAAAAAAAAAGATTCAAATACCTGATTTCCATTCCCTATCTGTATGTCTATGGATTGATATAACAGTTGCAGTCCAATGAAAACATTGCTTGATAACACTGTCATTACAGATTATGGCGCGTATCACAACAAGTTCGGTATTGGAAACTTTTGTAAAACTGGCGAATGACTACAACAGCAATATCTTATATTTTCATCTTATCAGATACGTTAATATTGTATATTTAAGTAAGATAATCAATCTGTCACAACCAGAACTATACAAGAAATACCACAACCTTAATATTATGTTCTTGATAACCGAAAAGTAGATTGCCTACTATGACCAATTAGCCGACATATACAAGCGTTATATAAAGTATTTACCAGTAGAACAAATTGAAATACTTTGGTAAATACTCGGCCGCAAAGGGTAAATAAAAAACAACAATATCAGAAGCTTGCTTAGAAACTAAGATTAGCTAGGGTATAACTGCATATGATTAAAAAAGTATATGCTTATATTTATAAACTATATTTGTTACTACATTATGGCTATTATTTAACTAAATTCCAGGTGAAAATTCGTTTTAATGTTTAATTTTAATAAGTGTGATGTAAATATTTAATAAAGATGGACTTTATTGATATCAATGACTTCAAACAGCGTCTTAAAAAATTTGTAATCGTAATAACAAACAGGCTGGCTATTGTATTTTGTTGTAAGACAGGAATAGAAAAATGTAAGCAAATTGTCCTTATAAATACATACGTAAAGATAAATGTTTGAATATTATAAGCATTTATTTCAGTATTGCAACATTTCCTCACCGTAACAGCAAACATAACATATGATATTATATGAGCCGTGTCACGACAAAACCAACATAGTGCGTTTGCGACCAGCATGGATCCAGACCAGCCTGCGCATCCGCGCAGTCTGATCAGGATCCATGCTGTTCGCTTACGAACCCTATAACAAGTAGAGAAGTGATAGCGAGCAGCATGGATCCTGATCAGACTGCGCGGATGCGCAGGCTGGCCTGGATCCATGCTGGTCGCCAAGCCATTACGTTGGTTTTGTCATGACACGGCTCATATTTTATTATTTAGCATACAAAAACACAAACGAAATTGATGTCAAACAATCACAGTATCGCAAAATCATATTTCATTTTCGTTATTTTATAATCATTTGTATACAGACGTTGTAATCGATTACCGGAATTATTCAACACAATAATTATTTATTATAATGCATGACTATAAATAACTCATTCCTTACAAGAAGTATTTTCATAAAGATATTAAGACATGGTTAACCTAGATATTAAGAGATTGTTACTTACAGGAACAGGGCCAATAACCTCGAAACAAGACAAAGACATGAGTACACATTTTCAACCGTGAAATTTGTTTTGTATTTCATAATATTGATTTTGGCTCATCATATAAGTACATAGAAGTAATACCATTTGTTATAAAATATTCATGGAGAATAAAAGGTTTCATCCTTTAAAAATGATATACGTTTTGTTAATTTGTTTAAATAACAAAAAATACAGATTTCTGAAGTATTCTTTTGCCGAAATAAAGGATTGCCATCCCAAAGGTTTAACATTTAATAAGATCATGATCGATACCTACTAAAGAACATTTTTGATACCAATTAGACCTTAAATTAGAAAACTATGGAAATTATTGAGAAATCAAATATGCCAAAAAATTAGACATTTTAGGTTTTCGCTCATCAGTTAGAACATATGCGACTAATGCAACTGAACTTGTTTAATATATTTTACCATTATTTGTTGCCTAGTGCAGCGTTTAACCGTGAAATAGTTTAAATTTTTAGGTAATTGTATGAGCTTTTGCCACACGAATTTTGGTAAAACAGATTAAATGTCTGACATTTACTGAAATTGCATCAAAGATTATTTGAATGTTTTACAAAAACGCACTGAACAGGTATTCCATAACAACAAGGGTTCATGATTTGACTTGACTTGATCTTTAGGATATACCTTATGCGCTCATAAGGTGTTAATAGTTAAATCCATATAATGGCGCTTGTTTAAACAATGAGTTATTTTATTCAGCTAATCCCTGCATTTTTATGGGGTTTTCTATGGGAACGCAAAAAATTATGTTAAATGGCACAATGGTCAGAAGAAGGAAGGGTAAAATACACATTTTATTGTTTGCACAAGACAAAGTCAACCAATATTTCGTTCTGCAACTCGACAAAATAACGATAATAGCATTCACTATGGAAGAAACATTTTGCTTTAGACGCTTTTGAATAATGTGGACAATATTTGTCACATTTTCCTTTCAAGAAAGCTCGGCATTATGTTAGAATGTGTCATCGTCACACCGACTATCTTACCTTATCTCATGAGAAATCGACGATTTAGGAGATCAGGTATTATCATTCTGAACCTCTGTAATTTTTTCACAATAAGTGTGCTGTAATCTTACGGAAGCGTAACATATCATTGATAATACTGTTCCCGTTATAAAGGGCACATTTGTGCGCAAAATACTCTTGCATAAGTCTTGCATTCACACAACTTGATAAGCTAAAACACTTATGAATAATGCACACTAGAGTCCAGCTTGTGATATATCGTCATTGGCCTTTTTCCTTTCATTATATAAAAATGTATTTTCAAATTCAAATTTAACCTAATGTTAAATTGTTATGGAAAAATAGTAAAGATTCGGAAAGTTGACGACAGATAGATAGACATGCATGCATACATTCTTACATACATACGTACGTACGTACGTACGTACATACATACATACATACATACATACGAACATACATTTAATGAATAAATTAATAAATAAATTAATTAATTAATTAAAATCTACGACATGAGAAAATATAATGACCTTTTATAACAAATCATAGAAATTAATTTCAAAGTCTTAACTTTCTTATCTTGGATAGAAGACAATTTAAACAACTGGAAATAGAAACAATTATCATAAGCTGAATATTGCGATCAATGGCCATAACAGAAATGTTAAGTTAAAATTGAATGCTTTATATATTCAATATAATGCTGTGAGATGAATGTTTTTATAATTAAAATTTTCAGTTGTCTGAGCAATACTATTAAGTTTTTGTTTATCAAAGTAGACAAGTAGAAGAAGAAGTTTAGTGTAAAACATTTAGTCATCTCTTTCGTAGAAATACATATTTGTGCTTATTAATATACATGCACTGTCAGAATTTATATGGAAAACATCAGTTGAAGGTAACATCCATTTTACTTCAGATATAGAAATACTGTTTAAACATTATCAATATGATTATTGTCTACTCTAGAGAAACATTTAAACTTTCGAAAGTAAAACATTAGGTCTTTTAGTTGTGATATTGTATCGTTATTAGTTTATATTAAGAAAAGGAAATGTATCAATATGAGAAAGAAAATGCAGACCTCGCGTTATTCTGAAAAGCGTTTTACGTTTCTCCATTAGAAAGTAATAAATCATATGTGCACAAAAAATGCAATATTGTGGAATCGCCCGTCAGAAAGGTTCTATATATTGTTTCTGGACAGATTTCGGCGCCAAAATCAATCATTTGTCTATTTAATCTTGTAACAATATGCACGTAAATAACATCAATTCATTTTTCTGACAAATTTAAGACAATATCATAAATTGTTAAATGTTTAGTGTCTTTTCTTTCGATTTATTGATGCATTCAATGCAATTTGTCATTTCCTAATGGAAAATTCTAATCCCAAACCTAAGTAAAGGACTCTATACATTATCTCATAACTTAAACTTGTAAGTAATAAAAATGTAATAGAACTAGTTTCAATCAGACTGAACATCATTAAGGCACGTCAAAAAAGTATAGACTTACACGAAGATATGTATATATCTTGTGACGACTACAAACTCAAACTATAGCTTTGTAATAATTAAAAATCAAGGATATTTGAATATTTTGACAAACAGTACATTTGAGCAAACAACCTCAGAAATTTAGGGAATGATGAATTTGCAATAAATGTAGATAAATATCTTATTAGAGTTTGGCCATATAGAGTACCATGATTCTTTATTATTTTAAAAAATCTCAATATTTATATTATATAGGATTATTTGTATCCTGTGTTTTATATTGCAAGCGTAGTTCAGGTTTTGAATTATATAACAAACAATTCATCATGAAATACTTAATCGATAAGTCCCTGGACCTCGATCTATAATTTTCCTTTCTGACTGATCCACCAATTTGCATATAATTATATATATATTTTATATTTTCTTTCAACAACAAGTGAATTTAGTTAATATATAGAACCTTATCAGCAGCAATAAGGAAAAACTATGATTAGAAAGATCGCGGTCATATTGTTTGTATAGTTACGCCTTGAATGACAGAAGCGCTCACGAACGATACAAAATCTAGAGATATCAAGACCGCTTGGAGAGAATCCTAACAATTTATTGACAACTATGTCTTAAATAACTTACAATATATTTGTTCTAATGTTTGGCTAAACATTGTGCAAAATGTTCCTTCTTTAGTATATACATGCGTATACGTTTTGATAAGGCAAAGCTATGATGTTACTCATGCCACGGCGTTTTATGTCAGTTAAATCGTTTACTTTTTTATAAAAAAAGAGGGCCATGATGGCCCTGAGGTAGCTCACCTGTATATAGGCCCCCGGAGCGGGGCCAGTTTAAACCCCAGGGCTTTTATTTGAACAAACTTGGTAGACACCCACAAAAGGATGTTTCATGCTACACATCTAACCTCTAGCTCATTGGGTTTTTTAAAAGAAGATTATTTAGGTTTTTACTATACACATATAGTTAAAAACAATGACACCTCTGAGGCGGGGCCAGTTTTGACCCCAGGGCTTTTATTTGAACAAACTTTGTAGACACTTACTAGAAGATGTTCCATGCTTAATATCTAAACTCTAGCTATTTGGGTTTTTTCAAAGAAGATTTTTAAGTTTTTGCCATACACATATTTAGGAAAATCAATGACCAACGGGACGGGGCCAATTTTGACCCCAGGGCTTTTATTTGAACAAACTTTGTAGACACTCGCTAGAAGATGTTTTATGCTTAATATCTAAACTCTAGCTATTTGATTTTTCAAAGAAGATTTTTTAAGTTTCTGCTATACACACATAAGGAAAA